ACAAAAGATGACGAAACCGGGGCAAACCAATACCGGTAATAGAAGTAGAAGCGAACAAAACGCGTTTGCGAATAACGTAGGCGCGAGTAAAAGTTACAACAACGCGATAAATCGTGATAGGGCGTACGCGTATAACGAAAGACCACAATCTTACGAGAGAAGTGGCAAAAGCGCATTACCACAGATACGAGGTGACTCGTACAAACTTTCTCCCGGTAAACTCGCTGAAGGTAAGTCCGTACCGAGACAAGGCAGCGCAGCGTAGAGAACAAGCAACACCCGATACCCGACATACAGGGGACAACGCACACCACAACCAGGTAAGCGTTATAATTATTATGACAGAGAGAGACAACCCAGTGTCACAATTACGGAGGTCACTAGTGATTGTGAAGAAAACGCGACACCGCGAACAAATTCCGCGTACAGAAAGACCGATCGTGATACGGAGAGCAAGCGACGTTACACTGACGGACGCGACAGACTTCCGACGACGGAGACGCGAAGTACAAATGCGATAGACCGCAATAAATTTAAAAATTATCCGAGGAAAGTAGCTTCTATCGGAATTAAAAATAAAGAAAATAGCGAAAAACTAGATCCGGTATTATCATCAATGGATTTCTACAAGCCGGTCACAAAATATTTAAGTAGCGATGACGAGAGCGACGAGGAAGAAATACCCGTCGAAGAAGCTACAATTTTAAGCGAGGAGGAGTTTCAATTATTAGCGTACGGTAACTACGACGAACATAGGTTCGATAGATCGCGAGATTTACACTGCGACAATGACGAACGTAACGCTAACTTACCACATTTGAACCGCGAAGTCAAAATTAATCGCGAAGAAAAAATAGAATACGTCGAGGATTCTGATTACTACGACGATCCCGACTCGGACGACGAAGACGAGCCGGAAAACAGTAAATATACCGATATAGATATAAACCTCATACGTTTGATTAAAGGTAATGATGTGTTATATTGTAACATGCCGTTGGAAGATAGCGATTCCGACGACGACTCGTATGACGAGGAGCGCGATTATGACGAGGAGCGCGATAATGACGAGGAGCGCGATATGACAAGGATGACGAGGAGCGCGACAATGACGAGGAGCGCGACAATGACGAGGAGCGCGACAATGACGAGGAGCGCAATTATGACGAGGAGCGCGATATTGACGAGGAGCGCGATAATTATGAGGAGCGCGAAAGTGACGAGGAGTCAGCCCGTTACGATAGTGACGAGGAGCGCGAAAGTGACGAGGAGCCGTGCGAAAATACCGTAGTTTACGAGGAGTACGGCGGAGAGAGAAAAGAGCGACTCGATCAGAATAGATATACATACGTAGGGAATAAAATATACGTTAGCGACGAAAGCGCGAGCGAAGAAAGTGACAGCGAGTCACAATTTATCGATAAGTCGATAGGGAATAAAGAAAATATGCTTATCCCATCCTTAAATCCCATCGTAGGCGTAGACAACGCTCACTTGAGAGCGAATTATTTAATAAAATTGAAGGAAGAACTGCTAACAGTTGCAGATTCTCTCCGATACATCACGAAAAGTTGTCCGTATAAGAACAACATGTTAAGCGACTTAAATAGTATAGAGAATAAAATAGCGTTAAAGCGCAGAGAGGAGCTCAGTTTCGTAGAGAAAAGTACGTTAGAAAAATTAGGATATTATACCGGCGTGTTAAAAGATAAAGTAGTAGAAGCCGGAGGCGATTCTGCGAAACGAGAAAATAAAAATGAGAGCGGTAGAAAGAAACCGGTAGTCAGGGAAATAGAATATTTAGATAGCCCGATAATAACCTCAGAGAGGAAAAGTAAGATAAGAGCGCGAGAGAAAATCGCAAATAGATTAGACGCGAGTAGCGAAATAGACGTTGTAAACGTTAGTAGCGAAGCGCGAATAGAGTTAGGGCAGCAAGAAGAAGAGACGACTTACCGGATATCCATGCCGATGAGACGATGCTGTACATCCGAGACGATGACGAGATTCCGGAGCATCAGACGATGATTCCGAAGGAGTGCAGCACACCTGTAAAGGAGAAGAGTGTGAAATCGTCACGCGAAGATGCCGAGGGCGACACACGTACCAGAATTCCGTTGGAGCAGCAGCC